CTAACACGTCCGAAGGAACATGGAGAGTCTTACTGGTCAAAGGGTCATCCACTCCCAGAGAAGTGCACCTCGTGCCCGCCAACAATTCAAAGGATAGCAACAACATGTTTGACCTAACTTGCGGCCGAAAAACAACACCAAGCAACCTAGGGCGGGGACGGGCGGGGCGGAGCGCATTCGCACTGCATCACGACACGAAAACCCCGCAGCATCGGCCTCAAAACCCAAACCCGCCACTTTGCTTCGGCCTAGCCTCGCCTCGCCACGCGGCGCGCGCACGCCCGTAGACACTCTTCTTTTGGCCACGAAAAGTTCGAGGGTGAGGTTTGGCCGTGACTTTGTGGCAACCACAACTAGTCCATAGCTGACGGTTGTTTAATCTCATCGTCTCAAGGTTTAATAAGCAATATAGTGACCAGGAAAAAATTATGAAAGAACATTGAGTAAAAGTTCGAGGGCGTATGGGGATATATGTGTAGAAAATGCGATAACACCGCACAATCCACCTATAAATGTTCGTCACTATGTCTGAATTGATGTTGGATATCATGTAGGTTTGTACGAAACGACCTTGACTTTGTTAAACCGAAGGAAAAAAAGACCAAAAATGCTCCAATACCGTTCGACTCTTCCCTCGTTATTACCGTCCCTCCTATAACTCAGTTGGCCCGACTTCGGAAGGACGAGACACGAAAAAAAGTGCGTCGTTTCTTATTGTCGAATAATTTCGTAGTAGACTCCTGGGCCGAGACTTCCAGTAGAGAGTGAGCACGAAAGACACTCAGACGTTGACGTCCAGTACTAGTACCTTTATGTCAAAAATTACCGACGATTGTCTAGTTCCACCCCACTATATTTTTAAAACTCGTCTTCTACGTCTCGGTGTTGAAAATAGAACAATTGCAAAAACAGGGAGACCAACAGAATCATATCCAAAAGTCTATGAAAGTCTTTGTCTTAATTCAGCCCTTCCATTTTGGTGAGTTTGTTGGCGAAAATAAAAAACAACACCTACACTACCGTTACAAGGTACATTGTACGTTTTCTTATACATAAAAAAACTTATAAGTCACTAAACCGGGTCTATTCGTACCATTCATCCTCCAACCAACACACACAGCTGTACAACTCAAGGAAATACGCGCTCCGCACTCTACACCCTAAACCACATCTTTCTCTCACGCTCACTCTTCCACACACCACTCTCGAACAACACAAACTCTCCAGCTACTCACCCATACCCACTACAAACTTATATCCACAAATTTCTCCGTCACCTTAATCACAACTAACCAACGCCACATCTAAAGTCACATCACAAATTTCACGGTTGGAAATACAACACAACCAAAGGAGATAGCAGACTCAAAACCGTACTGAAAACACCAACAAGAACCAAAAACAGAGACACAGGCACCAAAGAAACACCACTCACAACACCACAAACTGAACATTTAACCCACCGACAGACATCGGTCCGGCTTCGAGAGAGATCGCTATCTGTCCTACACCAGCGAGTTTGGTCCTCTGTTTACTCTCTCCTCACGCCTCTTCTAACGCAACACTACCATCTTTGTCTATAGAGCTAAGCCCACGCTCCTCGTAAGTCGGCCCACAACCACCAACGACAACAACCCACCCTACTTACACTCTCCGTTCTCCACACCTAAGGTCCCTCCCAACCCTCACAACAGTAAAAGTCTGAGACTTCCAGCGAGGTCAACCACAAGCACTGCATTCCCTCACCATATCACTACACAGCCGACAGCACAAACTAACACCTAAGATGTAAAGGATTTCTACGTGAACGACGACACCTATCACACCGAGAAACCACTTCGCAAAGACACATACACCCAATACGGACACCATCTCACCACCACCACACAGAAGGTTTTTCCGGATTCACCCACCACAAATGTTATCACACCTTTCGATACGCAACGCTAATACACGAAGAGGACACCCCCCACATACAACGCTAACTCCTCCTCTCACGACTCCTCTAACTCCATCTCCTGCTCAACAAACAAAAAAAAGTTTGTAGGAAGAACCTGAAATAACCCCACTACCCTCTTAATCATTGGCCCCCACCAAAAATCAGTGCCCGCGCACCTCAGAATTCAAGCTCCGTTGTTCGACCGCCCATCCAGCCAAACGACGGACACTCAGACTAGCTTACTACTAGCGCCCCAAACGACAACGCCACGTCCGGACGCACACCCACGCTGAGTCTGCGAGTGTACTCTCGGTGCGTGCACAAAGGAAAACACCGCTTCGTTGTTTCTACCACTCTAGTCACTCCCCCAACCTCACATAACAACGGCAGACATTAACTGCAGGCGCTACAGCCTTAACGCGCCCTAACGCGTCAATAGCCGTATAGCAGCTGCTGTGGCTCCATATAGCGCGCGCCACGCACGTTCACGAATCGGCTATGACAACCATTATCTACCGATTACCCACACAAGGCTAATTCTCCCGCTCTCACCTCTTCCTCCCACGTTCCGTGACAAAAGGGCATAACATGAGTAAAGAAATCATAACATGTAATCTTTTCCTACTCAAGACGCTAATTACATTAACATAATTTTACCACATATCGAAAATCAACCAGTCGATCGCGATTAAAATCACGACAAATAGACATTCTAATTATAAAATATAGCAAAACATACGTGGGAATCAGGAACACAATGGAGTCTCTCCAAAACTCGACCACGTCAGCACTATTAATCTCTCGTGCCACAACATCACATTCGGGCCACGCCCCAGCGGCCGACCGCTCCCAACAGCTCGATCACACGCGCGCCCACTCCTAGGACTGTACTCTTACTTCCACCGTCCCGGCGGGGGCTCCCATGATACTCAGTTGAATGCGAGAGTAACGACATCCCAAGTAGTACGAGCGGGAGGTCCGCAGACTCAGCAAATGCCGCAGCCTCACCCCACGTCACTCTCTGCCACTGAATTTCCCTTTCCACTCCAAACTCTCACTGCGTCTCCTGGCATCTCTCTATTGCGCTGCCTGTACCTCTCGTCTGCTACCAACTCTCACACTCTACAAGTAGTATGTAATAGTAGAAGACCTCCCGAAGTCCGGAAGGGAAAGGGAAGGATCCGCGGTGAGAAGAGTTGTGCCGGTAGGAACGAAAACAGACAAAATTAGAAGACTTGGTTTTGAAACCGATACGGCGATAATCCGTCTATACGAGACGTCCTGACTGACACTGACGATACGCGACGAAACAAACATAGGTAACTGAGGAGTATGAGTGCCTCGAGAAGCGAGTAACACACCCCGAAAACGGATTGATCGAAAGTTAGTACAACCTGGTCTAGTGGTGTTCTTGCAAAATCTATTACCTCTTCGGAAGTCGTACGATCAACAGACCACGTAACGAATGTCAAGAACGTCCGCTACAATAGTACCACACCATATCGCGAAAGTAACAATGACATAAAAGAGACACACGAGTTAACACATCAGACACGAACAACTCTAACAGGAGTCAGGAACAAACAGACAGGAACTTTCACGAAGAAGCAAGACAAAAGACACGAGGACAGAGAGGGAAGAGACAGAATCGTTAGGCCAACGAGAACAAAAGCGGACTTAGTCTTCTCCTCCCGCGGTCCGGCAGTACGCCGTTCCACGATAAGGACGCGGGGCTAGCGCAAGGACACATCATACAGCAAAATCCTTCTCCTTTGATATTGCCTGAAAATGGCTAAATGTACCTTGTGAAGGTTTTGTAAAATGTTAGCGTGTACATATTTTTTTACATGTTCCTTTGTAGGACCTTTAGACCTGTAGAGGAGGTGAGGTCCAACACCTGCCCACACCCTCTGTTAAATTGTCTCACCCACATTGAGGATGCTTCCTACGCCCATGTTTTATTCCATGTGTCAAGTCAGGCAAATTGGGTCAAAATGTTATTGCATCAATGATCTGTTAACATTAAAATCATTAAATATATGCTGTAACTATTTTGCTCTAGGCAACTCAAGGGCTCAGGTAATGTGATTACTATATGAATAATTGTCCAAAATATCATAAAATGCATAGGGTTTTTTGTTAAGTAACATACTGTACTTTCGTCGCCGGCCGGCCGATACATGCCGCGCATTAAGTGGGCATGTCTGTCAATTAATCCCCAGGCCACTTTTTCCCCCCAGTCCGCCCCTGACACTGAGCAGGACCTTTTTTGATGTAAAAAATAAACTGTCAGTACTCAATAACGGGCAGACTATCTAATAGGTGACGCCTTTATTAGCTTCAAACCTAGATTTGCCTTTATATTCTGACACATTTAAACTGACAATATAATTTCTGTATTAGGAAAATAATCAATAAATCAATCAACGAAAATACTTTATTAATTCCAGGGGGGAATTAGGTTTCATGACAGTTGCAACACATTATAATTACAAATTTAAAAAAAATTGGATATATAATGTAATTGTATAACTTTATATACTAAAAGTCCTTGTAGCTTAAGTCTAAGCAGTTTAATTAAGTTTTGCTTAAAAGTTCCTTCATTCACTAATGTGTTCGGTAATTAAAAACGGACTTTCAAAATAAAATGTAACATATACAATAATATTTGTATGAATTTGAAAGAGTAAGGAAATGTTTGCGATGTGAAGAAATGGCTGGGGGGGAAGTGCTCTCACTTTGGGTGGGTTATCTGAATTGTATTTATTATTTTGCCTATCTTACTTCCTTGTACTATTGATATTATATGTATCATAACCTGCATGTTTATCTAAAAATTGTAGTCCTTGTTCTGTTAAGTGCCACATTGTTCAAGCACTTTGAGCTGCATCCTATGCATGAAAAGTGCTATACAAATAAAGCTTGATATTATTATCAGTAAAAAGCAGAAGCAAATGTGATTACATTGACAAGGACAGAAAGGATGAAGAGGAACAGACGAGGATAACAATGGTGACACAGCGGGACATGACAGACAACAGATAGCACTGTCTGCTCTCACCACCTCCTCCTCGTTCAGTAGCAGCATCTGACCGTCACCAACCACGCAGTACTTCGGGTTCCACACACTCTGCTCTTCATAGGAGTGGCCGCGCGACATCCAATACCTCGCTGGACACTGCACCTCTAGAAAAGAGAATCACACAAAGGAATACATCAGGTGTGAAGGTTAGGGTTGCAAAGGGGCGGAAAGTTTCCGGTAAATTTCCGGAAAGTTTCCATGGGAAGTTAAACTGGGGAATTTTGGAAATATTCGATGCAAAATTAAACAAAAAAACATGAAATTTCAACAGATATTTAAAAAAAAAAAAAAAAAGTTAAGTAGAACAGAAAACGGTTTAAATTATTAGGTTTGCCCGAATGCCAACCAGTTTTTCCACTCTCACATTTGTGAGCCTGTTGCAAACCTTTGTGTGGTCTCAATAGCCATGCAGTAAGCAGTGTCCTATGGCATGGATATTCAAGTGCATCTGTTTGTTTTAGTCAAGATTATGCTAAAATATACTTTCCCCAACTATATTTAAGTTCCCTATGAAGAGCCAACCTTCAATTTTGAAAATTCTCAGTTTATTCCCGTAAAATTTCCCGTTCATTCCCGTGGAAAGTTTCCATCTTTGAAAATTCCAAGAATTTTGCAACCCTAGTGAAGGTAGAGATAGAAATAAAGGAATAGCTTACATGTTTGTCCAATTTGCAATACATTGTATCAGGTTTTATAGTAATATCCTATAAAACAATATATGGATGAAGTAGCGAGAAAGGGATGAATAATAGAGTTGTTGTGCTCCTGAGAACTGCTTTTCAACTTATGTAAACGTGTAAACAACTGTTTTACTCAGAGAACACAATAATCATGTTCTTGTTGAGAAACGCCACTGAAATAATGACTGCTGCACTTCTTTCATTTCAACCATTCTGTGGATGTCAGGTGAAGGAAGTATGCATATAAAGGAAGAGAGACAGGCATAAATTGGATCCTCCTGCATCTCCAGTGATGAAGTGACATAAATTTCAGAAAAGCAATCGTATGCTTTTTCACACAGGAAACACGATCCATCAATTCTTACACATGGGTTACTGTTCCAGAGACACTGAGCTACATCAATCAGCACAGAGCGTAATCCAAGAGTTTCATTACAGATCTGCTTTGAGGAGGAATCCTTATTAGCATATCTAGTGTTCTCTCCTCACACTGCAGTGCATAGGGTAAAAAAAAACATTTTCTGATGGATAAACTCAAACATGTAACATCCACTGCTGAAGCTATTATACAAATGTATGTTATTTAAAATCGTCAGGGACATAATGCCCTTTTTGTGTCATTATAATATGCTAAGCATGTTATGGAATACCCCGTGTTGAGGTTTATGTTTCAATTATTATATTTTATTGTGATTCATGATAATAATACTAACCTGGACAGTAGGTGGGGTTTTGCCCTTTAATTTGGGACAGGTGAATAAGTACTTTTTAAGTTTCAACTGCATTATACAAAAATATTGTTTAAGTTTTTATTTAATATGTTTTGAGCTTCCTTTGGACGACTATTTAGATCATTTTGACTGATATTGCAATTGAGATATGATTTCACAATAATAGGGAATTATCCCTTTAGAAACATTATTTACAATATAATTGAAAAATGTATTAAAATTATATAAAAATGAATACCAATAGTAGATTGTGGCTTCTCTGTAGCTCCACAATACCTCATATATTTTTCACATATTTGGCCTTTACAAAATATTGCATTAACTATGATTAGGATTTCTGATCAAATTTCAATTGATTGTGCAGTCTTACTTTTAATGTGGAAATGCACTTGTATTTTCTAACCGCTCCTTACATCCACTTTACCATTTCGAGGTCTATCAGCTGTCGGTTGGTGTGCAGTTCAGCTGGAGACTAATTAGTGGTGTATGTGCCTCAGACCGAGCTGTACATTGATGCTCGTGCTGCTAAGAGGGGAAGTCCATACAGAGCAGCTTCCCTGCATGATGCCTCGATGTGTTTCATCATATGATGCACAAAACATGAAATATATATGGGGCCATACTTGATGGAAAGCAGCGGAGAAATCACTGAAAGTGTGGGTGTACTTGAGATAATTCACAGAGGCATAATCCTGTCTAATTCATACTCCAAAGTTTCGGTGCTTCTTGGAGCAAACTTTAAAACTGGAGATTTCATTTTTGTTCCTGGACATGTAACATCTGTAAAAAATGTTTTTTAGAGACTCTTCATTTGTGCAGTTTCTAGTTTAGTTTCCGTGTGTTTTTTTCTCGGTAGGTTTCACGACCCTGTCACTAGTCTCTTTTTGATCATTTCCCCTTGGTGACTTATCCCAGGTAGCCTCATTGCGGAGTCATTAGACTGTGTCAAACACATTAATGCACAAGCACACGCACAGATAAAGCCATTACATACTGCATCCCTCTGATCAGCTTACAGTCACGCTGTGGACAGGAGCAGGTCAAACACACACAGTTTTCCATTTAGCAGAGCTTCTTTAGAGACAGGTTTTTCATCCTGGTGTTAATTAAATTATGCATTCCAGAGAATCCGTTCTACAAGATTAATACATATGAGTGGGACAGATAAGAGGTGGGAAAGCAAGAAATATGGAAATGAAGGAATGTTTTGACAGCTTCTTTCTCAATATGTAACTTCATTTCTTTAAATAACGCAAGGGGTGAGATGAATCTGCTTCACAGATGAGCCCTGAGTCTTGTACTCTCATAATGTAAATCTCTTAACCAACAAAGCTGTTGCAGCATCAACAACAAAAGGAAGAAAGGACAAATATAATAAAAACTGGCAAGACCAAGGCCATAAAGAAAACAGCAGTGGTAGCAGTGTACTCCATTTCTCTGATGGAACCCATTGCCTCTGCTTGACAGACAGAGCCAAGGACAACTCGCTGATGTGATATAAATTGTATGGATTTTTCTTCATGTCCTTGGTGATTTATCGATAAGGTTTATGAAAGGTATTCTGCAGTCTATCAATATTTTGCAGGCACTGCTTAGTGGGCAAGGTGAATATATACACACAAACTGTATTTCCACCATAGAAACATTCTGCAGACATTTTACTGGCTTGGGCTCTATCAGGCAAGACAACTAACTCTATGATCACAGCTTATTTCATCATAAATAATAAGCAGAATCAGAAAAGGGCAGTAGGTCAAATAGGTCAACACATACAGTAAAGACAGTCAACGAAGATCAATTGTAAAAAGGACCAAAAAAACTAAGAAAACTTTAAGAAAACTATAATAACATTAAAATATAGCAATATTTACATAGAATATAGATGAAATTAAGATACACCAGTAAAAATAAAACAGAATACAATCAAATATGTGGAGTAAGAAAAAACGGAATATTGCAAATCTAAAATACATTCATTTTCTAGAAGCCTGTACGTAGCTTTAGCATAGAGAGCATGGACTCTATCAAATGATACACATATAAAACAACCTCCCACTCCTTATAGTAACAGTTGAAAAAACATCACCAAAAAGGACAACATGGCAACCTTATGCCAATAAAAACTGTAGGCCTCCTACAGGAACAATTTGACATTTCTCACTGCCCTAGCGCACACAACGCTACTTTGCAAATGTTTACTTGTGAAAGTTCTGTACTCACTTGACTAATCTGTGAATCTTGGTACTTCTTTGCTCAAACTATAATATCGCTGCCCCACTTTTCTGCTAAAAGTTGACAAACATTGAGTTCAATGCAGTCATACCAAGCGGCAAACTCTGTGGAAGAGCCGGTGTTATGCCGTAGATTGTATCCCTGCCGTAGATTGTATCCCTGTTCGCGGGGACGCGCAAACGTGACGTCATCGCCTGTATTGAGCGTTCGTCTAGTTTAATAAGCTTTTTTCTCTCTTTTGAAGGATATATTTCCCATCAGATTAAACAGCAAACGGCTGTGCATACAATTGCGAGGAGGCTCGTTTTAAGGACACTTTTCAGATAATCACAATCTTCGTATTGGAACAAACTTCCGTTTTTGAGTGTAGTCCCACTCTGCTATGTTCCTCCTTCCTACAGAACGGACAATGACAGGATAATATGTCATTTGTCAGTATAGTCCTATTTCTGTTTAAGTGTCTGATAACCACGAATAGTAAGCAATGATATGACAGTAATGATATAACATGTGCCAGACACTGTGTTATTTTCAAGCAAGCCTAAAAGATAATGTCACTCACTTTAATTGCTCCTTTGAATGTAATTTTCCTCTGTGGTTTCCTACTCAACACATGTTTGTTTTGTAATGCCACTCATATTTTATTTTTCATTGTATTTTAAGGTGACATTGAATGCTTTGAAAGGTGCCCTAAAATAAAGTGTATTATTGATCTTATATCTGTGCCTATATCACACTATTAATGCTCCTTATTTTAGATTAGGTTTTTCCTGGTGTCAATAGGGAAGATCTGCACTGTTCTCTACATAACATGTTCAGCAGAGCGGGTATTTCTCCTGCCAGATATGGCACCCCCCCTACAACTTTGTCCAGGAGAGTCACAACGTCACCAAAATCACACTGGTGTTGGCTGTTCCCCTCTAGATTGTGCTCACCAAAGCACTTTACTCTGGGCCCAGCAGGTGAAAAACTAAAGAGGGGGTTCCAAATCCGGCAGAGCAGGTGTTGTAGCTGCCGGATTTGGCACCCCCCCTACAACTTTGTCCAGGAGAGTCACAACGTCACCAAAATCACACTGGTGTTGGCTGTTCCCCTCTAGATTGTGCTCACCAAAGAACTTTACTCTGGGCCCAGCAGGTGAAAAACTAAAGAGGGGGTTCCAAATCCGGCAGAGCAGGTGTTGGTGCTGCCGGATATGGAAGACACTAGTGTGATTTTGGAGAGTCTATAGGCGCTTTCACACCGCAGTACTTTTCCCACAAAGTTTCATGAGAACTTAGTTCATCAGAACTCTTTAGTTCTGATGAACTAAGTACCAGAGTTGTGGACTTGAGTCACATGACTTGGACTCGAGTCAGACTCGAGTCATGAATTTGATGACTTTAGACTCGACTTGACAAAATCTAAAAAGACTTGCAACTCGACTTGGACTTTAACATNCGGTCTCAGTGGAATATCCTG